GGAAAGTGTTAACTGTGATGCTAGTTTATAACTAAAAGATGATGTGAAAAGGAAATTGGTAAAAATGTCTTATGTTCAGACTTGGTTTACATTAAGAAGGTCGTTTTTATTTAAGTTTTGAAATATAGATGTGAGCAACAGGAGAACCAGGCAGTTCAGCCTCAGTAAGGTTTCCCCTATTTGCCTTTCTAGTCTAGAGGGTGTGGACTTCTAAAACAGCTATAATCCAGGCCTCTACAAGGCTACACCCATTCTTAGCTGGGGTTATGCAAGCTCCTCAAGGACAATACCTTTTAAAGAAGTAAATAGGAAATTTGGAACTTCCAGAGATCATGTGCCTTAGATGACCCTGATAAGTACATTGATGTCTTTTAGAGGATTTATTCAGACTTATGAACTAGATTGGAGAGACGTAATGTTAATCTTAAACCAAGCTTTGACTTCTATGAAAAACAGGTAGCCTTGTAAGCTGCTATTACATTTGGAGAGGAATATTATATTGTTATAAGGACTCAAAAGATGGACAACCAGTGGAATTACCTGTTCCCACTGGAGCCCAACCTGTCAGAGCCCTGCTGTTAATAGCCAGGCAGAAGAATGAAAAAGACAATTTTTTTGAAGTGTGTATTCTTCAAGGTCTAAGAACTAGAATCAAGCCTTCAGTTATTAAATGTTAGCTATTTATCAGGAAAAAGATGAATACCCCTCTGATTTCTTAAAATGTTTAATAGAGGGACTGGTAAAGCACACTTTGTGAGATTTTAATTCAGTAGACAGACAGATTACTCTTATAGATAAGTTCAGGAGCTACAAAAGATAGCTTTTGTTCCAGACAACTCATTTGATACTTTGGTAAAAACTGTTTTAAGTGTCCTATAATTGGAACTGGGAGAAAACCAAGGAGAGAAAAAAAAGAGATTAAAAATGGCTGCGATTATTGCGGCCTCAAAATAGACCCTAAGTTTGATTCTCTTGGCTCCAAGAAGAGCTCAATGATGATGATGTTCATCTGCTACTGCTGTCAGAAGCCAGGCCAGCATAAGAGGGACTACCTTACGAGGCCCACAAGCCATGCCCTGACTGCCAGGGCAGCCACTAAAAGTGAGACTGCACTCTGAAGTGGAGGCACCAGAGCTCAAACTCAGTTTCCCAGGTGGTCTGGTAGGACTGAAGGGCCATGGGCCTTCCTCTTTCCTCTGGCCAGACGGTTACCTCTACCTGCCATCTCCACGGAGGAGCCCTGAGTAATCATGACTATAGGAAGGAAAAGAAACCCAGCCTATTGCTGGACATTGGCACAGGTCTCTTTGTCCTTCTCCAGCCCTGACCTTCCTTCTAGTCATTGTACCTCAATAGAAATAGACTTTAGAAGATATATTGCTTTAGCTATAACTGAGGTAATACAATATATTCAGGTTGTTTACTAAACGATGGTGCTGAGACTGATGTTTTACAAATGTAATATATTGATATTCATGTGCAAGACTTAAAGTATTTCACCAGTTAAAACAGGTTCCCAAGGGCAGAGAACAACTTGTCAGCATAAAAATGTTCTAAAGAAACTGGCTTACACAGTGTCCAATAGCTTTGGGCCTATAGATTGAGCCAGGTGTTGTATTTGTGATGTAAAACTCAGAGCCACAGCATTAAAAGGAAAAATCCCTTGGCAGTGCCCCTTGCTTACCATGGGGGCCATATCCAAAACACTGAATGAGACATTAGTTTAATGTGACTAAATGTTTTGTACTTCATGATGAGTATGTAAGCCTGGTTGGTTTTTAATATAACTCCAGTATTTCATGTTGATACTTAATACATGTGTGACCTCTCTTAACTAAAGCTAGAGGGACTTATATATAGTACACTGTCAGACTCCGTGAATAAAGGAGTCTAAGAGCTAGTGAGTTATGATTGCTAGGTCTCAAAAAGGTTTATAAATGTACCTGTTAGCTTGAATGTTCATGCTTTGATTATATATGTTCTAATTTCTCAGATAATTTGTTATTTCTAGAAGATACCAAAACCCAGGTAACCATACAGGTAAAATCTAAAACCAAAAAGTTATATCTTGCTCAGTGAGTCCCAGATTTCTGACACAAGCTACAAAAGTAAGAAGGGTTTGCAGGAATAAATTGGTCTCAGTTGAGGTGTTTCTAAAAAGGATACAGAATGGAATTATAGATGGAAAATAAGAATGGGGATACTAGCAGCCTACAGGAAAGCCAGATGGAGAAGAGACATTTCAAGCAGAAATGTCCACAGCTGCTAGAGAAGGAAAAAGAAAGTGTTTATGATGGAGTCACAGGAAGTTTCAGATTCAGGTGGTTATGTGTCTTCCCACTCAGTCTGAGGGAACCCATGTTAACTGCTAATATAAGGAGAAATCCTGTTAAACTTTCAATAGATTCTTATACAGATTTGTCAGTAGTTACCCAGCCAGTGGCCCACTTGCAAATGGGAAAATATTTTTCCTATGCCCGGTAATTCGTGTTCCCCAGTAATAATAGGAAAGGCCAGTTTGCTTGAGACAGTACCCAATGGCCATTAAAGATAAAAGGATTAAACCCCACATTTAAGAGATCTCTGCTAATGGACCTACAAAATGTTCTGACTAGTGTTTTTATTTGGCCAATGTATGTTTAATAGTTTCTTTGCCTTTGTCTTCAGATTCAAAGCTGTAATAAAAATGCCTGGTGTCTATTGAGGGCCTTTAGATAGAACCTCTGAAGAATATATCTGACTGCTGGTCACCAACTACGACCCCTTTCAGCTTGAAGAAGCCAGAGTGGTCATCGCCCATAGTTCCCTCATGGCAGTTCAGGTTACTTCTTCTGAGGGGGGAATGTTGCAGGCAGCTGAGTTAGACAAAAATAGTATAGGCAGACAGGGCCAGGCCCTCAAGAAGACAAGATGGAAGATAAGGTGACTTTGCAACTTGGAAGAGACAGACACTCCCATATGGGCCACACCTCAAGACCAAGACAAAAAGAGGAAGCACAGCTACATACTTCCCTAGGGATGGGCATTAAGGATTGATATCCTAAATAGTATCTATCAACTTGAAAGAGCCCAAATGAGTCACTAGCCCAACCCCCAACAGGAAGAGACCCTGTTCTATATTGGTGCCCACTTGCTATGTGACTCGCTTTCCCATTTGATACTGGATTTAATCAATTTCACCTGAGCAATGGTGCTTGTAATCTCATTGGTTGACCATAGTTTTGTCCCACTTCATGCCCAGCTAAGCAAGTTCCCATGTGTTCTCCACCACCTTAGACCCGCCTCACCACATGGTTTTCCTCTATAAAAGTCCCTGCAAGAGACAATTTCCTGGGGGGAAATTACCTGCTTCCCCCCCCCCCTCCTGTTCCTCTCTCGGACAGGAGCTTTCTTTCTCTCAATAAATATATTCTGCTCATAACCTCCATTTGTTCCTAAAATTCATTCTTCGGTTTTAGAGAACACGAACTAGTGCAGGTCAGGTCCAGAGATTATTTTGCTCTATATCATTTGGAGGTTCCCTATATTATTTGGAGGTCACCCACCCAAGATCAGTTTTTCCTCCCTCTATCAGTATTAGGCAGGCATGGTGACTCACACCTATAATTGCAGTATTTGCAGGGCCAAGCCAGGAAGATTAAGAGCTTGAGGCTAATCTTGGCTGTATAGGCAGACCCTGTCTCAAAGACAGAAACAAAACAGATCAAAAAATTAAAAAGTATGTTTGGATGAAATTTCCTAGAGCATATAAGGATAAAAGGAAAAAAAAAAAGCATGTCTAGTGCTACACCTGAAGAAGCTGTATTATTTAATAACTTTATTGAGGAGGACATATTTTCAAAAGAAAACAAAGACAAAACAAATTGAGAAAAAATTAAGCATGTGTAGTTCCAGGGAAGAAAAAAGATGAGAATAGACTAAGAATGCATTATTTCTAATATGACTTTTTGCTTTTATTCCTTTTTATTATGATGACACTTGTCTTTAAATTTTTGATTTACATTAGAATTAGAAGGCTCAGTTGGAACTCATAATCAACAGAGAGTGTAATGGATCAACTCACATTTTAGAGTATAAATGTAAATCTTGTGTTTTCTGTTGTGTAAAAATATATACTTACCACTGTTCTAAGTTGTTTAGTAACTAGTGGCTGTTTCTTGCTGTTTGCTAGATAAAATTCCTGTAACCCTCACCAATTGCTGTCAGCAAAGTTAGCTTACAGAGATGACTTAAAGGAAATTAAATGGGCTTTAACTTCTTGTAACCTCCGGGCTATACAAGGCTGCCTGCAGGTACTCAGGTGCAAATTAACCAGAAACTGAAACAAAAGCCCCAGAAATGTAGTTTGAGTTGTGGTCCCAATCACTCTAAAAGCACTATTTTGGGTCAGACAATAAATTTGTTTACCAAACTAAATGTGGTCAGACAATAAATTTGCTTATCAAACTCAGTGTGGTTCCAGGGTTTAAAACCCCTTCTTGCTTCCTGGGCTGCCGCCTTTTGGTCCTCTACTGCGTGAGAGCAGACTGGGAGCCCTGAGCTCAGTAATAAAGGGCTTTCCAAATTCCAACCTGGCTGATCTGGTTCCTATCCTGAGTGACCTGTAACAAGAGAATATGCACACATATCTCCACATGTTGGGTCAAAGCTATGCATGCCCTTCCAAACAAAATGGATAGGTGTTCAAACATATAATTTAGGTAGAAATGATGCTTAGAAATTTTCTGAAACATACCTTTAGCTTCTCTAGGTGACCATGAATACTTATAGGTTAGAAGGTCTTATGAAATGATGATCATGATATATAACATACTGATTCCTATTAGCTATCACATGGAATCAAAGAATTTTGCCTTAAATAGGAGAGTAGACCTGATACCTCTGAAGTGCATTTGTGGTTCCGGAATTCAGTCAGTCCTTTGGTGACAGCCATGATGATGATGGAAAAAGTGATAAAGAAACTATTTGGACTTAGTGCTGGTTGCTGAGTTCTTGTACCTTCACTCTACTGTTTTCTTAAGGAAGTGCTCAGCAGGTAAAAGACTCCTTAAAAATCCTGCTGCCATCTTCCTGAACATGTCCTTCAAAGCCTCCTTGACTTGCTCATTGCGCAGGGCATAGATGAATGGGTTCAGCAGTGGGGTCACAAACGTTGTTATCATCGTCACTGCCCAGTTAGAGTTCACAGAGCCACTCTGCGATGGTCGCACATAGAGGAAAATGGCACTTCCATAGAAGAGGGTCACAACCACCAAGTGGGATGTACAGGTGGAGAAGGCCTTCTGGCGGCCCGAAGCAGAGGGCATGCGTAGGACAGCCAGGATTATGTGGCCATAGGATGTAGCAGTAATTGTCAGTGTTGACACAATGACGAGAGAGGCCAGGACAAAGTCAGTCTCCTCCAGTTGCTTGGTGTCCGTGCATGCCAGGTGGAGTAGGGGCCCACTGTCACAGAAGAAGTGCTGCACCACAGCACCCTGCTTACAGAAAGGGAGTAAGGCCACTACTGCTGTGGGACCAAGCACAGGGAAGAGTCCCCCCAACCAGCAGGCCAAGGCCATGCGAGAACACACAGCTCCAGTCATGAGCAAGGGGTAGCGCAGAGGGTGACAGATGGCCAGGTAGCGATCCACAGACATGACAGCCAGCAGAAGAAACTCTGAAGCCCCGAGGAAGAAATAAAAATAAAACTGAGTAATACACATGGCAAAGGAAATGGTGTACTGCCTGGACAGGAGATTGCTCAGCATCTTAGGAACGATGACCGAAGTGATCAGAATCTCCAGGCAGGACAGGTTACCCAGAAAGAAGTACATGGGTGTTTGTAGGCGAGCGTCAGCACCCACCACTCCCACGATCAACACATTGCCTGTCAGAGTCAGGAGATAGACGAGAAGGAGCACAGAAAACAGTTCCGTTCTTGTGCTGTTGAGTTCAGGGAAGCCTGCCAGGACAAACACTGTTGCCCCACCACTTTGGTTCCCACCAGGTGCCATTGTCTTTGTTACCTAAGCAACAGTATGAGCATGATGCTGGTAAGAGCAGTCCTGAAATTTATTTTCCATGCTGTAGTACACATATCCTGACTTGCTGCAATCATGGATCCTGTTAATATACAGAACACCTGGAATCATCACCTGACTGACTGGAGAGCTGGAGAAGACTTTCTATAAAGGGTAGTGAAAGCTTAAGGAAAAAAATGCCAGGACCCTCTGTCTTCATATCCTCTATACTCAGGTCTTAAATGATGCTACCTTGTTACTATAACAGCAACATCAATAAACATATGGTTTGTTCAAAAATACTTTAAAAATTATTTTTGTGAAGAATATGACTCCCTTTTAATCAGAATCAGAACTTGAGCCAGATTGTCTTTCTTTGAATTCCTGCAACTCCACTTACCAGATGAGTGGCTTTCTGTGCTCTCCAATTATAACTCTGCAAGGAGCAAATTAAATAATAGTACAAAGGGTTTAAAACAGTTTCTAACAATAAACTGGCAAAGGATGTGATTGAAAAGTCCTAGGCTACAAGTTGGTGCACTGCAGCATAGTGTTGGCCTAGCACCGCATTAGGAAACTGTTCACGAGCCTAGCCCACCCTTGACCTTCAACTGCCCAGCTATACAATGAGTCATAGAAATCTGGCCATTCACACAGCTATTATATGATGTTACCCTTCTCACAGAGAATCTGCAGAACAACCAAAGAGCTATTGTGCTGTTGAGTTCAGGGAAGCCTGCAGATTTCCACAAGATGCTTTCATTTCTATCTCAAGTTACACCACACAAGAAAAAGAGAAAGAAATAGCCCATACTGAGCTATCCAGTCCACCCCTCTGAGCTATTGGTAGTGCATTATCCACAGAGGCTAATTCAGTAGCAGCTTGGAGATAAGTGTATGGGATTACTAAAATGACTTCTTGAAGCTTTTTCAGTCCATGATACTTTCCCTATTGAACTACCAACTCAACTCCCTTTTGCCAACTTGGCCTTAACTAAATTATTTGTCGGGGACAGAATTGTGAATTCCTAGCTGTAAATATTAATAACATCAGAAATGAATTTTCATTCAAGTTCTTGCAGTTCTGAAGACTGCCACAAGTTATAAAAAGCAAATCAATTATATTCTCAAAACACATTCTTAAAAGCCTCCATTATCAGGAGAATGTCGATTCCTCAAAACCTCACAAAGCATGAGGATTAATTTTAAGACTCAGTTCTCTGGCAGCTCTCTTATTCTCTAGCATACCCCAACAGTTTCTGTTCTCAGCAAATGTTAGTCTCAACATTTCTCATGGGTGGTGGTGCAGGGGGAGATAGCTCAGTGGACTAAGCTTAGGCAAGCACAGGGACCGGGGTTGATCCTGGTCAGTGTGGTCAGTGCCCCCTGGTACACTGAGCAGGGCTGAGCCAGCCAGAGAGTCCGGGCATGGTGGTGCACACCTGTAATCCCACTTCTGGGGAGGCTGAAAACAAGACGATCACTATGAGTCTAAGCTGTGTAGTGAGACCCTGTACCAAACATAGTAAAAAAATCTCTCCTGGGGAAATATCCCTAGGTTTTCTCCTTAGAGATTCATTTATGGTCTCCTCTCCAGGATCTATAGAAATTAACTTATTTGTCATTTAACTTTTACTCTGTATTTTTGTGTGCCAAATTGTACTCCTGGTATTTCAGAGATAAAGGTCTAGCTCACCATCTAAAGAGAGGACAGGACAATTAAAATGCATGCTAGGTGGAATGATGCATACACATACACGGCTATGAGAGGGATGTGAGAAAGGACCCATGGTGAGATTAGAGAGCTCGTGCCTAACATAAGTGCTAGAAAATGTGTATGGACGTGACAGGAGAAAAGGACAGTCTTAAACAGAAATGAACAGCATGGAAACACTTCCTTTGAGCTAAAACTCAAAGGGGTGGACAGTAAAGAGATGGCATGGCTTACCTCGAAGAGAGCTGCTCCTGGCCCTCTGTTGCTCCTTGTGAGCATTGCACCAGACCTAAACTGTATCTCAGGTGACAGGAAAAGCCCGGGGAGATAATTCCACAGTCTAAGCACCCACCTGGCAAGCACAAAGACCCAGGTTCAATCCTTGGTACTGCATGCTGTGCCAGCCCTGACACCCCAGGTGCCCTCTGACATGCTGGCAACAAAAACTGGGTGTGATGGCACATGTTTGCAATCACAGCACTGGAGGCGGAAGACAGGAGGATCACTGTGAGTCTGAGATATGTAGTAATACCCTGTACTAAATAAATAAAAGTAGTTTTTTTCTTTGGTTTTTTTTTTTTTGTTTGTTTCTTTTTTTTAATGACAGGAAAATTGACTCAATTTAAAAATGGAAGGAATTCCTCTGACCTGATTGTCGATGTCCCCACCTGGAATTCTTTTTCCCTGTTTATGATTCCAATGCCTGCACTCTGTCCTATGAAGCTGACCATGGCCCAGCATCCTTAGTGCTTCAGAGGAAAGGCACAGCACTTGGAGAAACAGGGAGAGGCTGGATAACCTGCTTCTTTTACTGGGTGGTTCTCCCTGGTTTATTTCCTCCAATGCTGAACTTCTGCCTAGTGAACAAAGAGATTTTCTGATCCTAAAGAACGTGTATCATGGCTAGGCATGGTGGTACATACCTGTAATCCCAGTACTTGGGAAACTGAGGCAGAAGGACTTCCTCAAGTCTCAGACCAGCTTGGGCTATATAAGATCAAAGCCATTCTGAACTACATAGTGAGACTCTGTCTAAAACAATAACAAAACCAACAACAACAAAAAAGAAGCTGTGTCACCTGCTCCTTCTTGTGCTCCTTCTGGTGCCGTGGAACCAGTCAGCCATCAGGGTCCCCTCTCCCTTCCCTGTCTCCTGAAATGCAATCATAGCCTTGTGCTTCAGCAGCCACAATTCAAGCAATAGACAACTAGCACGCTATGCTCCAAGATACAGCACTGTGAGAATATTATGGGCTGAAGGCCCGGTATGGTAGCAGATGCCTGTAATTCCAGTCCTGAGGAGGCTTAGGCAGGAGAATTGTTATGCGTTCAAGACCAGACTGGGCTACACAGTGAGCTCAAGGCCAGCCTGAACTAAATAGTGAGACCCTGTCTAAAAAAAAAAAAAATCATAGGATGAAAGGCCCGGTATAAACATAGAGAGAGAGCCACACTATTGATCTTCTACCTTTGAAAGGATTTATCACACTTACCACAGTTCTTTTCATCTCTAGTGGTTGAAAAAAATCTTCCATTCAGGGCCATGTCTTCACTTTCTTGCTAATAAATTTTAAATACAGAGTATCAGCTTTCTACTTGTAGGCCTCATCTTTTGTGGCATTTCTTGAGAGCAAGGAAGCATTGATTTCCAATCAATCTTTCTATTGAAAGGTATGATCTGCCATAAGTAACTGGCTTTCAGTAGAGATGAGCCCAAATGAAAAGTGATCCAGCCCCAGGAACTGCCCTTGCAGCAGTGCCATCTGGAGAAAGACTACACAGATGGTGAGAAGATAAGAGGGAGAGAGAGAGAGAGAGAGAGAGAGAGAGAGAGAGAGAGAGAGAGAGAGAGAGAGA